GAAACACGGAACGCCAAAAGAAATTATGCTAGGGAGGCCAAGCACCCCCCTCTGACAAGCTACATTGTGGATAGTAACTCTCGAAGAAACCAAGTACCACCCATTATCTTCACCCAGGAAGACGCCGAAGGAGTTCATTACCCCCACTGCGATGCGCTGGTGGTGAGAGCTGTCATAGCCCGAAATGGGCTCAAACGAATGCTAGTCGACAACGGTAGCTCCGTCAACATCTTGTTCGGGTCCGCCTTTGACAAGATGCTATTAGACCACCAGTTGACACCCACCACTACTCCATTGTACGGATTTACCGGAGATAGCATCACTCCGAGGGAAAAGATAACACTAGCAGTAGAGATGGGAGAATCTCCCCAAACTACGATGAACTTTATGGAGTTCCTCGTAGTTGACAGTCGGTCGGCTTACCACGGAGTCTTGGGTAGACCGGCCCTAAAGGAATTGGGAGCAGTCACCTCCATCCACCACCTATGCATGAAATTCCCAACGAAAAATGGGGTGGCAATGGTGAAGGGCGACCAGAGAGGTTCGCGAGAGTGCTATCTGAGCTCCATTAATAAGGTAAAGCCCCGGGACGTCCACGTGATCATGGCAGATGTGGTCATGGCGGATGTCCCAGGTGACGTTCCCGCCGGCCAGGAAGATGTTGATATGATTGACGCACCACCTCTTCAGGAGGCGTTAATCTTTGATGAACTCGACCCCCGCATAATGGAACATGACCCTCAAGCGTCCTCCTGTAGAGGAACTTGAGAGCTTCTCAGCCGACCCCCGAGATCCATCAAAGATGTTGAAGATAGGCAGGGGCTTATCCAATGTTTTGAGAGAAAAGATCAAGGAATTCCTAGGCAAGAACCTCGACGTCTTCGCCTGGAGACATGAGGACATGGTGGGCATAGATCCCAAGGTCAGCTGCCACCACTTGAAAATCGATCCTAATTTCGCCCCCACATAGACAAAAAAGGAAAGCCCTCAATCCAGAGAGGTATGAGGCCCTAAAGGAAGAAGTTCAGAAGCTCATCCAAAATGGCTTCATCAGGGAGGCCACTTATCTGAAATGGGTCTCCAACCCGGTCTTGGTTAAGAAACACAATGGCAAATGGAGAGTATGCATCGACTTTACCAACCTTAATAGAGCTTGCCCGAAAGATAGCTTCCCGCTTCCAAGAATTGACCAATTGGTGGACTCCACGGCTGGGCACGAGTTGTTGAGCTTCATGGATGCATACTCCGGCTACAACCAGATCCCCATGCACCCGGCCGATGAGGAGCACACCTCTTTCATCACGGATCGAGGCCTCTATTGCTATAGAATGATGCCCTTCGGGTTGAAGAATGCCGGAGCAACTTACCAAAGACTCGTGAACAAAATGTTTACCGACCTCATTGGCAAGACAATAGAGGTCTACGTGGATGATATGCTGGTAAAAAGCCTAGAAGCAGAGAACCACATAGTGCACCTCAACGACACCTTCCAAATACTGAGAAGGTACAGGATGAGACTCAACCCCTTGAAATGTGCCTTTGGGGAGGCTTCCGGCAAGTTCTTGGGGTACATGGTCAACCAGCGGGGAATTGAAGCAAATCCCGAGAAGATTGAGGCTCTGTGCCAGATGAGGTCCCCTCAAAAGCCAAAGGAGGTGCAAAGCTTAACTGAACGAGTGGCAGTACTTAGTCGCTTTGTCTCCAAGGCCACTGACAAATGCCTCCCATTTTTCAAAGTGCTCAAGGCCGGGAAGAAATTCCAATGGACTGAGGAATGTGAAGAGGCCTTCCGAGGATTGAAAAGGCACTTGGGGCAGGCCCCCCTCCTCTCCAAGCCGAAGCCCGATGACACCTTGCAACTATATCTCGCCGTCTCCAATGACGCCATCAGTTCGGTTTTGATTCGAGAAGAAGGGCCCACCCAACTTCCCGTCTACTATACGAGTAAAGCGCTCCTATCGCCGGAAATGCGATATCCCGATATGGAGAAGCTTGCTTTGGCCTTAATCACGGCCTCTAGAAAATTGAGACCTTACTTCCAAGCTCATACCATCCATGGACTTACAAATTTTCCCCTGAGGCAAGTACTCCAGAAGCCCGATGCCTCGGGAAGATTGTTGAAATGGGCAGCGGAATTAAGTGAATTTGACCTTGTGTTCAAAGCAAGGGCGACCATCAAAGGGCAAGCGTTAGCAGACTTTGTTGCTGAATTCGCCAACCTATCCGAGGTGGATGAAATCATGGAGCCCGTCGAACCCCCCATGTGGAGTCTCTCCGTAGATAGCTCGGCTTGGGATGTCGGCTCAGGTGCCGGGGTTGTCCTCATCAACCCCGAGGGTCACAAACTCACCTCGACCGTGAGGTTCGGGTTCAAAGCTACCAACAATGTTGCAGAGTATGAAGCACTCCTTGCAGGCCTTAGACTGGCCAAGGAAATGCAAGTAAAAAAGCTACTCGTCAATAGTGACTCCCAGCTAGTTGTTAGCCAAGTCAATGGTAGTTTCTCAGCCAGAGACAAAACAATGGCCTCCTATCTGAAAATGGTGGTGAGCCTCATCCCATCCTTTGAAAAGTTCGAGTTAATCCAGATTCCCCGCATCGAAAATGCTCATGCGGGCGCACTCTCGAAGCTGGCTAGTAGCAAGGACTCAGAGCTACTCGCTGTAGTGCCTATCGAGCATCTCCTACTGCCTTCTACCGAGGCCCCTAATGTCATGTGGGTCGGTGGAATTCCCACCTAGATGCAACCAATTATAGCATATCTGAAAGACCAGGTGCTATCCACCGACAAAAATGAGGCTTACAAGCTGAGAAGGAGGTCAGCCCATTTCCTCTTCATCGATGACATTCTTTACAAGAGAAGTTTCTCCTCCCCACTCTTACGGTGTGTCGGAGGAGAAGAGGCTACATACATACTAAGAGAAGTCCACGAGGGAGTGTGCGGCAACCACTCTGGAGGCCTATCCCTGGCACAAAAAATACTGAGGCAAGGATATTACTGGCCTACCCTGAAACGGGATGCACTCGAATTTGTGCGAAGATGTGACAAGTGCCAACGATTCTCTCCCGTTCAAAGATGACCATCACAGGATCTGACTGCGGTCTCCAGCCCCTGGCCTTTCTCAAAGTGGGGTGTGGACCTCATAGGCCCTCTACTAAAGGGTAGAGGAGGTGCAAGTTTTACAATAGTGGCCATTGATTACTTCACGAAGTGGGTCGAAGCTGAACCACTGGCAAAAATCACAGAAGCAAACACCTCCAAGTTCCTATGGAAGAATATCATTTGTCGGTTCGAAATTCCCTACTCGATCGTCTCAGACAATGGCAGGCAATTCGATAACAAGAAGGTTAGAGAACTGTGTGAAGATCTTGGCATAAAGAAGCACTTCTCTACACCTCACCACCCACAAGCCAATGGCCAGGTGGAAGCCGTAAACAAGACAATCAAGCACGTCCTGAAAAGGAAGCTTGATGTGTCCAAGGGGGCTTGGGTTGATGTGCTGCCCCAAGCACTTTGGGCAATCCGAACCACCACCAGAACACCAACCAGGGAGACCCCTTTCCTCATGGCTTTTGGGACTGAGGCGATGAGCCCCGTGGAGGTCGGACTCCCATCTCCACGGTGTCTGCACTTTAGTGAAGTGACCAACGACGAGCTCCGGAGGCTAGACCTCGATTTCATTGAGGAGAGGAGGGACGACTCCCAGCTGAGGCTAGGCACCTACCAAAGGAAGATGACAAGGTACTTCAACTCCAAAGTCAAGAAGAGGTCTTTTCGAATCAACGATCTCGTGCTCAGAAGGGTCTTTCCATCTTCAAAAGAACCCGGTTCCGGCTCCCTGGGACCGAACTGGGAAGGTCCATACAAGATCAGAGAAGAAATCTGACCTGGAACCTACTGGATTGAAGACATGGACGGCAAGGCACAACCCCGTCCATGGAACATTGAACCCTCAGAATCTTTTATCAGTGAATTGTATCATGCTGGGTGACTTTTCCAGCCTTTGTAATATTGCTATGGCTCAATAAAATGCGTTGATTAAATCTTCATACTACGTTGTAATATTTCCCAGCCTTACTGAGGCTCTAGCACATGCCTCCCTTTTTGGCCTTGCTGAACGCCAAGGGGAGAAGCCTCAACATGGCTGCACCATCCACCATGTCTGGGATGCGTCGTAACCTCGGAGGAGAGGCTCGGGACCCACCACTGGGCCACCTCGCTTGAACTCCGAGGCTCTAGCACATGCCTCCCTTTTTGGCCTTGCTGAACGGCAAGGGGAGAAGCCTCAACATGGCTGCACCATCCACCATGTTTGGGATGCGTCGTAACCTCGGAGGAGAGGCTTGGGACCCACCACTGGGCCACCTCGCTTGAACTCCGAGGCTCCAGCACATGCCTCCCTTTTGCTTGCTGAACGCCGAGGGGAGAAGCCGCAACCTGAAGTTATGTTCATTTGCTTAAGTCCGAGGCTCACACAGTCAAGTTCATCTCCTTAAGTAATGTTCAGTTGCTTAAGTCCGAGGCTCACACAGTTGTGTTCATTTGCTTAAGTCCGAGGCTCACACAGTCAAGTTCATCTCCTTAAGTAATGTTCAGTTGCTTAAGTCCGAGGCTCACACAGTTGTGTTCATTTGCTTAAGTCCGAGGCTCACACAGTCAAGTTCATCTCCTTAAGCAATGTTCAGTTGCTTAAGTCCGAGGCTCACACAGTTGTGTTCATTTGATTAAGTCCGAGGCTCACACAGTCAAGTTCATCTCCTTAAATTGTGTTCATTTGCTTGAGTCCGAAGCTCATACAGTTGATTGGTTAATGTTAAGATACCAAGTTAAAGTTATTGAGTTTGTGCTTTAATCAACTCCTAGTCCGCTTGTTTAACGAGGCACAAAAACTTGAATAAAGAACAACAATTAGTGAAGAAAAGCATTGTATTAATATTCAAAAGGAATTACAAAGGAGGGCCGCTGGCCATTACACAAAGTACTGAAAAGGAAACCTAATCTAAGCCTGGCTGGATGGAGGAGCCGCCTCCACGCTTGGGGGTTCAGCAACTTGGGCATCAGTAGTTGCTTCCTCTGCCTCAGCACTTGGGGCTTCAGCATCAGCTGCCTGGTCACCGTGCACCTCCTCAGCTGGGATCTGAGGAACCTCATCCACAAATTCGGACCTAAGTTGTGCCAGATCCGAGTTGGGATAAAGCTCCTCCGCCCTCTCTAGCACTTCGGCATAGGCGAAGTTCCTCCAGTACGCGCTGAAACTTTTGTACTCCTCTGTGGTGTGGAAGTTGGCGATGTATGCCTTCACCGCCTCTTCCGCTGCAGTTCGGGCCTCTTCTCTGGCAGCCGAGGCGTCGTTCATGTACCACTTAGCCTGCCCTTCGAGAAACTGATTGGCATCACGAGCGCCGGCCAAGGCGAGATTCGCCTGCTCCAGAGCCTCAGCAGTCACTTTCTGGTGTTCATTGGAGACCTCCACCTTCTTTCTCAAGGAGGCCACCTCACACTGTGACTCATAAACTTCCCTCTTTAGGGCCTCGATTTGGGCCAAAGCAGACTCGAGCTTCGCCGCTTCTTCTACCCTCTGTGCTTTGGCCTCTTCGGCCTCGGCCTTAGCAACTTTGACCTCCTTTGCAAAGGAGGCAGCCTTCCCCTCTGAGGCGTGAGTCCTTGTCTGAAATTCACTTAATGCCTTCCTGCATTCGAGCGTGAGGCCAAAGGTCCAGGCGCTTTGGCTCACCAGTGCCCTTGTAAGGTCGGTGGCATCACAAGACGAGGCATGAAGCTGCCACCTCTCCGTCCAGAACTTGTAAAAGCTCTCGGTGGCACCTCTGATTTCCTCAGGGAGGGCCTCCACCAAGGCTGGGGCTAGCTCATCCTCCCTCCCAGCTAGGAAGTTGGGATACTTCCCCTTCTCCCGAACCGGCCTCTCATTCGTCGCCTCCTCTTCGGCGGCTTCCGCAGCTCTCCTTGCAGCCTCTTCTCTGGCCTCTTCAGCCTCCACCTCTCTTACCATCTCCATTTTGATGGCCTTAGAGGCTGCAGCAAGGAGCTTTGGCTCACCGGTCTGTTCTGCCCTATAGGACACTGAAGTCCCGAACTTGCCAGCTGAGCTGGAGATGTGCACCAGCTTCCTCTTCTTAGTCTCCTCAGAGACTTTCTCCTTGCCCCGAGGCTCCTTAGGCTTCTCTGGCCTCTAAGTAGATGCCTCCTCCAAAGTCCTAGGAGTGCAGTCCTTCGACAGGCACTCAACTCTGCCTCGAACTTCCTTTGCTCCATTGGACCCGGGCTTCAGGGGCCTCGCCTTTGCAGTAGAAGTGGCCTTCAAGATAGAGGCCATGTCTGGAGTTGGGTACTTCCTCTTCTTGAATTTATTTGCACCACAGATTAGCATCAGCACAAAAAACATTCAAGTTAAAATCAAGTGTTGGAGCCCCATACCTCTAGATGCCATCAGCCCAAAGTCCAAGAAGTATATGCTTCTATCAATCAGGTGATCAAAGTGCCGAAGCTTCAGAGGCCTCTTGTAAATATCCTCTATCACCTCGAATTCCTCCCTGCTGAGCTCGAACCTCGTACTACTATCTGCAAAGACGAACCTTCAACAGTTAGACGAATTCATATTCTGACTTCAAAAGACAAGCAGAGGTCGGGAGACTCACGAGCTTCGTAGTACTGGGTCGGCACTGTGCATGACAGGGCTTTGTCACCCTCCACTGCCTGCCATTTACCTCGCACCCAGAACCAGGACTCCTTCCACCCCTTGATAGAGGAAGGAAGTCCCACCACAAAGGGTGCGTGAGCCCCCTAAGGCGTGAGGTAGTACCACCCCCTTAACTCCTTCCCAATTACCCGGGGCTGGAACAGGGTCATGAAGACATGAAGGGGCATGTCCTCCCCAAGTGAAACTTCCTTCCACAGGAAGTACGAGCCGACCAGCTGGCTCCACCCATTCGGCAGAACCTGGGTCGGCGACAGCATAAATTTCCTAAGCACCGCCCTAAAGAAGGGGTGCAAAGGAAGACGCATACCTGCTTTGAACAGGTATTCACTCACGGCCACGCAGCCAGGCCTCGGATAGCAGGCCCACTCGTTAGATTCGGGGACTAACATCTCTATGTTATGAGGCACACTGTACCACTCCCTAAGCTCCCCCAACCTCTTCCCCGTCATGTTTGAGGGCACTCTAGAAGCCCCCCACTCCTGGGTATAATCCACGTCCTCCTCGGCCATGGCATACCTATCCACCTCGGAAGTCCCCCCATGACCTACCCCATGGTCTAAAGACGCTACTGTGACAAGTTCCCTACCCGAAGTGGACTCCATTGTTTGAGGACAAAGAATAACGACAATTTTTTATGCAAACAATACCTAAAAGAATTCAACACAAACGGAGACCGGTCGGAATCTAATCGCAGACAACCTCGACGCCGAAAAATGGGAAATTTGAGAGAATTTGAGAATGCAAAGTGTTCAAAATTTCTGGAAAGTGGGATTTTCTCGCCTTTTATAAAGGTCCAAGACGGTTCAGCTACCTTTCCTCGAAAACAAGCACAAAACATCAAATCATTGGCACAGAGACCAAAGCACAATAATTACCATTGAACACCTCGGCTTCTTCAGACGCATTCTGCATTCAAGCCTCGCAGGTTCGGTTTCCCAACCACCACCTCGGCTTCTTCTGGCGCATTCAGCATTCAAGCCTCGCAGGTTCGGTTTCCCAACCACCTCGGCTTCCTCATATGCCATTCGGCATTCAAACTGGTTCAAAAAATTCAAAAATTCTTTCAACTTTTACTCCGTTAAAGTCCACGCATTACATTAATGATCATACTTGGACTTGGGGGACTATTGTTGTGTGTTGTCACACCTGTTCTATCCACCTGGGCCAGTGGGCCACTCATCCTGACCCACGTGGCATTCCTACCGAGGTGGCCACATTGCCGAGGTGGGTTACATCCGAACTGCTTCTAACCGAGGCTCCGTGCCCGAGGCGTGGAAGCTCTTGGTTGTAGCTGAGGTCCTCGAATGGACGAAGCCCCGGAGTTGATGTGCGAGCCTCAACCACAAGGAAATATCCTCCATGGTCACTTCTCCCAAGAGATCGCCTGCACAGATCTTATTCGAATGATTGATTGAATGTCTATCATAAGCATAAAGGTCAAGTCTTGTCACTAGCGTGGAGGCCCTGCACAAGCAATAAATGCGCCGTAAGCTAGCAAGTCAAATCCCATGCCTAAGAACAGACGTTTAAACTAAGGAGATGAGGCCACGTGCCACTTCATCCAAGGGCCCCCATTCCATATGTATCACTATAAATACCCCCATTGTATAACGTCAAAGGACTAATGCAAGAATCAATACTAAAGACTACATTTTACTCAACTCTCTCCCATTTTACTGGCAATACACAAATCGAGTTTATACATTTTTGCATATATCTACGAGCACCGGTTGGTAATTATTGTACAACCGGATTACGAACAACCCGTCGGATCCCGAACGTCACCGTCTCGCGTCGTTGGGCTACTCCCACGCCCCTTTGAACCGCTCGTTTAGACCGTCCACGTGTCTTAGCGTGTTGGACATTCGCCCACGCAAGCGCGGGTGGGACCGGCATATGTTGGCTCACTTTTTGGGGTCAACAATGATTATCTATGGTCTTCTTGTGAGTGATAAGGACAGGAAGTACGCTATTGTTGAGGAACTTGATGAGCTTATTGACCTCGAGGTTCACTTCATCTTCAAGCAAAAGAATCCCAATAGTGGAGAGTATATTAAACATCTTCTCAAGTATCTACCATCAGTGCCTTATGACAAATTGACCCATGTTTATACAGCCATCCTGAAACCCGATAATGAGTTAAGAATCTTGGTGGATGGCGAAGAGAAAAAGAAGGCTAACTTCCTCTCAGATGATGGTTTTGAGCCACCACTTGTTCCTGCTAAAACTATTCCAGACCCAGACGACAAGCAGCCTGAGGATTGGGATGAAAGAGCAAAAATTTCAGAGCTAGATGCCAAGAAACTGGATCACTGGGACGAGGATGGTCGAAAATGGCATGCTCACCTTATTGAGAATCCCAATTACAAGGTATTTGGAAGCCCCAGCAAATTGGAAATCCTGACTATTTTGAGCTTGATAGACCAAACTTTGATCCCATTGCAGCTATCGGCATTGAGATGTGGACAATGCAAGATGGTTTGTTGTTTGACAACATTTTAATAGCTTCTGATGAAAAAGTAGTAGAATCATACCAGGAGACTGCATGGAAACCTAAATTTGATGTAGAGAAAGAGAGAAAAAAGGCCGAGGATGCTTCTGATTCTGAAGGGCTTAAGGGTTTCTAGGTAATTAGTGAGACATTTCCATTTTTCCTGCATTACAAGCAACTCATAGCTATTTCTGAAACGGAACTTTTTCTGCTTTCCTGTTTCAGAAAGCGGTATTCAACTACCTTTACAAGGTTGCTGACCCCCCCTTCTTGGGCGATCACAAGGTTAAAGTTTTGGTAAGTCCTGCATTGAATTTTTCTTTGTCGATGTTGCAATTGGCTAAGGACTTTGTCTCGTCAGGATCTTCTTGAGAAAGCCGAAAAACAACCAAACCTCATAATTGGAGTCCTTATCTCCTTTGTTGTTATTCTCTTCACACTTTTTTTGCAGCTTGTTTTTGGTGGGAAGAAGCCGGTAAGCTTTCCTATCCTTTTGCTGTGTCTTAAAATGCATGTGGTTTCTCATACCAATAGGGCATAGTTGTTACACAGTTCGAACAGTTTGATACTCACTGATAAGATTTTCATTTCGTCTCGTTCCTAATATTTTTCAATACTATTGAGTAGTCCTTACCAAACATGCCGTCATGGCATAATGTCATGTCCTGTTCACCAAATATTAATGTGTTGAATGTAGGCTAAAGTTCCTGCACAGACAAAGACAGAGAAACCCAACGCTGCTGAAACCCCAATAATCAGGGAAGCGCGGAAGAGAAGGAAGAGCAGAATGAAGCTCCTGCTGCACCTCATGGAAGGAACACCAGGCATGACAATTAGGGTACAAGGATAGAAATGCATCCTTGCTACTACTTAGAACGAAAATTAGAAGAGGTTAGACAAAATGCCCTGCAAGCCATTGCTGGATCAATTTTTCCATCTGGAATTTTCCACTTCGTCATTACTTGCTTTTCTTTTTTCTTTTTCCATTTTTGCTTATTAGGTGCCTTTTAAAGAATTAGTGCTTGTCAATATATACGAGACCATCTATTGAGATGTATCCATCTTATGTTAAAAGATGGGATTTTGAAATTGAGGACAATTTTTAAACTCACTCTCTAAAAGCAAACATACATGCATTTTCATAACCAGTTTTTAAAAAAATGAAAGAAGACTTTGTTGGAAATAACTGGTCACACCAGTTTTTATCACCGTTCTTCCACATTTCATAATGTAAACCTTAAAATATTAGCCAATGTGACAAGGCACTAACTCTTTAGGATACAGAGTCCTTGAATTTGATGAATTGGAAGATCAACTTCAAGCTGATTTTTCTTCAAATCGAAATGCAATGCAATTATTACTTGTGCGATAACAATAGTTCAATGTATGACAGTTTCCCGAATCATGCAGTTGTTTTAAGTTTCCACAAGCGAAACTGTATCAACGCAATTGTCTGGGAGGTACGACAGCGCTGGTAGGGTTTGGAATCGAATCATTTGGCCCGAGGTCATCAATAGGTGGACGCTGCTTGTGATGATCTGTGACCGATTGATAAGCCATTGCCAATGCCAATGCCTGCACGTAATATAAAAGAATGCATACGAGGGATTACCAGAATAAGATGAAAAAGATCATAACTGCATTTAATTCATTTTCACCAGGATAGAACTCTTTCCGATTTTTTATGTTGGTTGATGTACAAAAATGTCAAGCAACATACACAAATGTAGATCAAAAGACAACACTTCAAAGAACTTACTACATGGTCATGGTCTGGTGGTGCATAAATACCAGTAGTCACAGTAGTTCTCCTCCGGGTATCATTTGAAGGGGCGTCGGATATTTTCTTGACTCCAGTTGGAACAACAATTACAGGCAAGCCTACAAGATTTCCCATGCAAACCCGTTCCCAGTCTGTAGCATTTCCAACGAATGCATCAACTTTGAAATTCTCTCTTATTTCTCGCATTAGTTTACCGCGAGTTCTCTGCGCCTGCAAAGATAAATTTACCATTTCAGTGCTCCATAAAGAGCTCAAGCTTATAGGATCAAGAAATAGCAATAGCCACATATTTAATTTCAATCAACAAGGTCAAGATGTAAATTGTATTTAGAGTCGTGCTGTTAGTTTACATCCATTAGTTTGCAGCGAAATTTTGCTACATTCTCTTTTTTTGATGTTAGAATGAGCAATGGGGTTGATTGAGAAAGATCTTATTAGAGGATCTTGATTGGTTCTGCGTATGTTTGAAATGAATTGGCAGCGCATGATTACCAAAACATTATACAAGATTTGTAAAGAAATTTTGGCAGTGTCTAAATGGCGTACTTGAACATAATCTACTGCAGATATTACTCTTGCTCGGCGAAGTTCAAGAGGCCACTGATCTTGAGCTTCATAATCATCATCCTTGTGAGCTCGCTGCCACTCATCAAAGTGAGCCAACACATCCACGTCCATTGTAAAATTCAAGATTCCTTGAACAGATTCCACAGTGTAATTAAGCTTAAAAGGAACCATATTGACGCCCTTTGAATGAAGCACCTGGACAACCTGTATTAGCCATCATGGCAAAGATTCATGTGTTTATGGTGTCACTTTTACAGAGAAATTTTACAAAATTGTCATATAAACACTTACATCCATCTCAGCATCTTCAAGATATCCGACAGTTAGCTTCTCTATATCAACAGAAAATGGGTCAGTAAGAAGGATGTCCCGCGAAGACAGATCGTCTGGATCCTTCCCTCGGATGCAATCCAGAACAACTGCGCAATCTGAAGCACTTCTACAGAAAGGGCCGAGTTTATCCTGTCAAATTGATAGGATCTAAACTTCACGACTAAGGAAAAATAGGAAAATTGCGTTTCAGGAAGAGAGGACTGCTACCAAGCTCTCAGATAGGCTCATTACGCCAGTTCTACCAACAGTTCCAAAAGTTGGACGCAATGCAGTCACCCCACAACGAGCAGCAGGATAAGTTATAGATCCGGCAGTTTCTGAACCAATTGCAAATGGAACCATACCTTGAAGAACAAAATCCACTGAATAAATACTCCACCCTCGTGATGGTTTAAAATTAAAAAGAAAAAGGAAAAATCCATTGAGTAAGCCATCTTTCACATGCTTACATACGCAACATTTTTGACATGAGAGAAAACTTGACAAACAAGAAAACTGGTGAGTAATTTATTAAAAAATTCACCAAAATGAATAAAGACGCACCAGCAGAGGTGCAGGCAGCCGGGCCAGCTGACGAACCCGTCGAGTATTCCTCAATATTCCACGGATTTCTTGTTCTACCCCCAAACCAAATGTCATCATATGCCAGTGAACCCGTCACAAGCTTTCCAACAAGAATTGCCCCAGCAGACTTAAGCCTGTATTAGCTATCATCATAAACTGGAAAAACAGTATATCTATGTGCCAATCTAATTTTTTTTCACATTGGCTCAATACCTTTTATACACCCAAGCTTCAATGTCAAGCACTTGATCTTTAAAAGATTTAGAGCCCCAAGTTGTCTTGTATTGGGGTACGGCGATAATATCCTTAAGCCCATATGGAATACCATGAAGAGGACCTGTATAGAGGAGAAGTCCAATATCTACTCAAGTTTACATTTCCTAATTATGAATGAATGGTAACGAAAAACACAAAGCAAGAACTGAAAAGGAGAGGAGAAGCAATTGACTCAAGTTTACATTTCCTAATTATGAATGAATGGTAACGAAAAACACAAAGCAAGAACTGAAAAGGAGAGGAGAAGCAATTGACTCAAGTTTACATTTCCTAATTATGAATGAATGGTAACGAAAAACACAAAGCAAGAACTGAAAAGGAGAGGAGAAGCAATTGACATATGTGCATGTTGTGCGGAGCTAAAAATGATTACTTATAAGTAAACAAGTTTAATGATGATGATTTGGTTTTCATCTAGAAGTAAAGAAAAAGGGAATTACCCAAATAAGTTCCTTGTGCTAGTAGTTGGTCAGCATGTTTTGCTTGCTTGTAAGCCAATTCTTCCGTAATAGTGACAACAGATTCAAGAACAGGGCCGTATCTGCAGTAATCCGTCAAATGTTTCGACAGGAAACCAATCACAACACCAAAACTGAAGTGTAATTTCACAGGTAACGATTTCATGATACCTCTTTAATCTCTTTAGAAAGATCCCAGTAAGCTCCTCAGATGTGATTAGTTTAGTCCTAATAAGCTGCCCAAGTTCAAGAATCTGATCCAACATGTTAATTAGACACGTGATAGAGTGTCGATTCACACACTTCTATTTGATTAACTGAAATAGTCGAGACTTACACTCATGAAGGCAATATCTTCATCGCTTTTTGGCCTTTGTACACCTGATAAAGAGGGATAACTGAATCGTTCTGTTGCATTTGGAGCATGATCAATGTTCCAAGCAAAACTGAAAACTAAATAAGATGGATTCTCTAATCCACCATTAACAGAAGCAACTGATTTTCGATTAGCTCGGGAAATAGGTATGTTTAGCTCCTTGACACCATTCTCAATCTCAAGCATCTACGATCGCACGTTCATTTCACATTACACCTCAGTCGTAAAAAACCCAGTGAAATGAATAAAACAATGACTACAACCAACATTAACATAGAATACCTTAGTATCATTGAAAAAGTCAGCATCCAACAACCTGAATCCGGTACGTAGGCACTCGTAATTGATATTTCCCGAGTGTTCATTATGATTCTTGGTGGAAGAAGTGTGGGTGAAGAAAAGAAAGATTGAAATAAGTACGAGGAAAACGTAAAATTTTTGACGTGAGAAATGGAGGAGCTTCATAGGACCCATGTTGGCTCCTGCAATAAGCACACCTCGTCGCTAACGTCTGAATTTCTCGGCACTTCGAGATTAAGAATTTTAGATCAAACGGCAAAAGTCCAACACCCCGTATTTCGTTATTCATCGCTCTACTCTCTGAATATATATAATAGTCTTTGTTTCATTATATATATTTTTTCTTTTTCTCGTTCTTTTTTGGAAGCAAGCGTTTGTTTCATATTACTATGATTCATTAAATGAGTGAAGAATCAATCTTCAGAAAAAAAAAAAAAAAACAAAAACAAAAACAAAAAATGTGTAAATAATTGGGCCGGCCAGTTTCAAGTTGAAGCAATATTTTGTTCAAATGGGAATAGTAGTGATGTTCTGACTTCTGAGAAAAGCACAAATGGACCGGAACTTTAATTTAATAATATTTAATTTAGTATATTGAGCCCTTATTTAATTCCCGTTCTTATAAAAATTCATTTTTAATATATTCTTCAATTAAGTAATATTACAAGCAAATTTAAAAAAAATTTCCTTAATTTTTAACCATATATTTTTCATAAATCTACTATTCAAAATGTATTATTTTCCCAAAATGAAATTATTATTTTTTATGGGAAAATATTTCATTCATAAAGGTAATAAACCTTAAGAAATGGTACAATAGTGTTTATCAATGAAAAATACATTTTCAATGAATAAACACTATGCCACCAAAGGAACATATCTTCCATGGACCATGCGTGTCGCGCCAGGGAGTGGGTAGCTTGGTTAATTAGTCTATTGCAGTGTTGGAGGTTACATTGAGGAAAACGCTGCATTAATTCCTTTATTTCAACAATTTGTGATCGGATCAAGGCTGAAGATGAGCTTGATTTATTGATTTCGTTGACAAGGAAGAAGCAATTGCTTTCCACTATCAAGTGAGATATTCCAAGGTTAAGGCACAGTTGTAGACCTCTCACAAGCGCATGAGCTTCAATATGTTCTGGTTCCAGTAATGAGTTTGCAGGTCCACTAGCTGCCAAAACTATTTCTCCCATGTTGTCACGTAATATGATTCTGAACCCAGACTTATTAGAGTCAAAAAATAGCGCGGCATCAATATTGAGTTTTAACGCGTGTTTAGGTGGTACGGACCACCTATTTTGTGGAGAAGCGACCCAGGGGTACAGTTGGCAAATAGACCTGATTCAGCAGAGGGTTTTTTGGCTAAAGCAGTGGCAATTACTTGTTGCGGTAGAATGTTCAGCTGGTCGTGTACCATTTTGTTTTGGTGAAACCAAAAGCCCCAAGTGATGAGTATAAATTCGGAGAGAGCATTCTCTGAGTCTTTTGCCATTATATCCATAGCCGTTTGCATGAAATCTCCTAGGTGGTCCTTGTTCTGTAGCGCTGGAAATCGGCTGGTTAGAAGTTGACCAGTAGTGGGACAATTGAGTAGAGCATGGCATAGATCTTCTACTTGGTAGTCACAAAAACAACATTGAGTGGTAATAGGGATTCCTCTTCGAACCAGATTTTGTTTGGAAGGCAAGCTGTCTTTACAAGCTCTCCAAACAAAAATTTTAACTTTTTGGGGGATTTTAAGACGCCACATAGTATCCCAAAATTTCTTTTTCTTTTTTTTTCAGCCGCATTTGAGGAGTTGCCACGGTCAGGAGATAGACAAGTCTTGAAGAATCTATATGCACTCTTGACAAAATAAATTCTCATTTTTTCATGCTCCCATGACCAGAAATCTGTTTCACCCACAGGACCTGGGTGTAATTTTAATATCGCCTCCAATATTTTTGGATTGAATAGAGCCCTAAGCTTTGTCAAATTCCACCACTTCATGTTGGGGTCAATCAATGAAGCCATTGGGTTGTCAATTTGTTGATTGTGTTGTTGTTGTAAATCAATTCCTAACTCCCTACTTAGATTTTTCACTCCCGGGATCCAATTATCATTTAGAATGTGTATAGAGTTACCATCTCCTACAATCCATCTTTCTCCTTGGATTAATAGATTTTTTGCCTCCCAGATTCCACGCCAAGCATAAGAGGGATTTTGTCCAATAGATGCTTTAAGGATGTTAACATCTCGGAAGTAACGGGCTGAGAAGATTTTATGCACTAAGCTATCAACGTGTTGCAATAGCCTCCAAGCTTGTTTTCCAAGCATAGCCATGTTGAAAATTTCTAGCTCCTTAAAGCCCATTCCTTCCATGGATTTTGATGTACACATTGTATTCAATGATCGCCAATGGATTTTTCGCTCTTCCTTCCTTTGGCCCCACCAAAATCTAGCCATCATCCTTTCAACTTCAGTGCATAAAGTGGAGGGTAGTTTAAAGCAGCTCATAGCATAAGAGGGAATCGCTAGAGCCACTGATTTGAGGAGGACCTCTCTTCCTCCTTGGGAGAACGTGCCACCCTTCCAACTTTGTAATTTCAACTAAACTTTGTGTTTTATTTCAGAGAAGGCTTGCCTTTTGGATCTTCCAATCATAGGTGGTAGTCCCAGATACTTGTCATATTGTTGTATTTGAGGAGCGTTCCATAGGGCCATTATTTCTTGTTGCTTGTCTGATTTTACATTTGCACTAAAGACCATAGAGGTTTTATCTCTATTTAACTGTTGACCCGAGGTTTCTTCATAGAAACTAAGGAGAGCTTGCAGTCGAGTAGTATTTCCAATATTTGCTCCACAAAATATCAAGCTGTCATCCGCAAAGAGAAGATGATTCACCCTTGGAGCTCTTCTACATACTTGAATACCAGTCACCATTTTACTTATTTTTGCCGCATTAAATAGGCTAATTAATCCTTCAGTACATAAGAGGAATAAATAGAGAGATATTGGATCTCCTTGCCTTAGCCCCCTGGATGGAATTATGCGACCCGTGGGACAGCCATTGATAAGTATCAAGAAAAAAGGAGTAGTTACACATGTCATCACCAGGTTGATAATTTTTTCGTGGAAACCCAATTTATGCATAATCGCCTCAAGAAAAGACCATTCCACTCTATCATATGCTTTGCTCATGTCCAGCTTGAGAGACACGTAGCCTTTCTTGCCCTTCTTCTTTTTTCGTAGGAAATGGAGTACTTCGTAGGCCACAAGTACATTGTCTGTAATGAAAGTTGATTGTGTTTCTGAAATCACCACAGGTAGCAATGATTTTATCCTATGTACCCAAATTATGTACACCAAAAGGGTGTGAATACCTTTCACATGAGGTCCCGCGCGAGATGGGCCCCACCTACGTAAGGGGTGTGAACACCTACATATTTTATATACACCAAGACTTATCCATTGAATATATCATTATTGTCATGTCAATTATTGTGTTTTTAAGTGTGTAATTGCTCTGTGAAATGTGAGTTAGGATTTAAATAAAGATTAAGATAAAGAAGTGAAGAATGACTTATTTATACGGCATTCAATCAATTTATTTTGTGTTTTTATGTAACATAAAAATACTGATAAAAAATAATTTACGAATTATGCGTTCTTTACTTTCTTTATCGAACAATAATAAAATGATAAAATGAAATTATGAAGAATATAATTGAATCTTTAATATTTTCAAGATTTTTAGTGTTAACGGAATGAATTGACGTCCAAGTTGGTATCTTACCTTACATAAGTTCCTCCAATATTGTCACCTCAAATAAGAAATACTATTACCTTGTATAGAATTCTGTAGGAAATATATATATCACATTGTAAAGAAAATAATTTGTGATAGTGTTATGATTTTGATCTTGGTATCAGAGTAACCCGTATTCCTTGAATTATCACCACCGAACTCACATGGCTAAAGAACAATCCAAATCTGCTGCCTCTGAAATATCCACCCCAGTCATCCACATCCAATCTGAAAATTCTGGCTTCCATGCTGGTGTTATTCTAACTGAAACTAACTATAATGTATGGTCCCAAATCTTGGAGATGCAAATTGCTGGGCGTGAAAAACTGGAATATATTTTGGGTAAAAACGACCCCCCAAAGGAAACGGATCCCACTTATGCAAAGTGGTATGCTGAAAATCAAAAAGTTAAAGGCTGGTTGCTTACCTCTATGTCACCAGAGATAATGAAGCGCTACTTGTGCCTGCGCACTGCATGGGAGATTTGGAGTTCCCTTGCCAAAGCATTCTACAACGGATCGAATGAGACAAATCTTTGCACTAAACCAGCGTGCCTTCTCTGCTAAACAGGTTGGCCGTCCCTTATCAACCTATTATGGCGAATTCGTCGAGATCTTTCAGGAACTAGACCACCTCGATAAAATTACTATAAAGGATTCAGATGATATTGATCTGGATGCGGGTACATATCTTCCTTAGTGGACTGGATACTAACTTTGAACAGATCCATGGTGAAGTTCTTCGAAAAGATTCTCTAGTCGACCTCGAAGAAGCCTATGCTTTTGTGCGTAAGGATGTCGTACGTCGAACCACTTTAAATGGTGAATCTGACCACTCCGAATCTACTGCTCTATTGGTTCGCAGAGCCAAGTCTTAGCCACCCAAATCTGATGCAAAACTTGAAGCAAACTAGAAAGACAGTTTTGATATTTCCAAGCCAGAATGCCTGTGTACTCACTGTGGTGAAACCGGCCACTCCAAATCGAGGTGCTATGATCTAATTGGCTGTCCAGATTGGTGGGATCCAGCGAAGGCACCATGAAAATGCAACTTAAAGTCAAGTCACCAAGCATCAGTCACCATAGCTAAATCTTCCAGTGACACTCCTGTAGAAGCTCCTCTTTGGTCGCCACTTCAGGTAACAATGGTATGGCACTACAAACTTCTTCACTTAGTAGTAGTAATACATGGATAATTGATTCAGGAGCTACAACTCACATGACTTTTGACAGTCACTATAGTCAGTTTATAAAACCATCAATCGAACATATCGTATCTACAGCTAATGGCAAATATTCATCTGTGACTGGAGAGTGTTCAATTGCTCTTTCAAATAATTTAAATCTTGATTCTGTTTTAGTTGTACCATCCCTTAATCACAACTTGTTATCGGTTCCTCAAATAACTTGTGCCTCACATTGCGTTGTGATTTTTTTGCCTAACCTTTGTGTTTTTAAGGACATCCGGACTCGGAAGACAATTGGTTATGGTACTAGAAGGGGGAAGCTATACTACCTAGATTTGAAACCTGCAAACTCAAGTCAGTTGGCTCAAGTTTTCTCAGCGGATAATTCCATCAAAATTACTTCCAAAATTTGGTTGTTGCATAGATGCTTAGGTCATGCTTCTTTTGGATATTTAAAACGATTGTTTCCAAAATTGTTTTCTCAGTTAACTACTTTAGATTTCAAATGTGACATTTATGAACTAGCAAAAAAGTCACCGCATATGATTTCCATTAAGTTTAAATAAAAGTCCAGTACCTTTTATGTTGATTCACTTGGATGTATGGGGACCAGCCAATACCCCTTCCTTAAATGGTTTTTGTTTGTTTGTTTCTTTCATTGATGATCACACACGTATGACATGGATTTGCTTAATGAAGTCTAAGAATGAAGTTAGTGCTTTATTTTAGAAATTTCATAAAATGATTGCCACGCAATATCAATCTCACATACAGGTTCTTCGCACTGATAATGGAGGAGAATTTGTTAATCAAGACTTAAAGCAGTATCTACAGTTGCATGGAATTTCATACCAGACCACTTGTGCATATTCTTCTCAACAGAATGGCGTTGTAGAATGCAAAAATCTCCACTTACTTGAAGTTGTCCGTGCCTCTTTGTTTGGCGCTCATATGCCCACTAGTTACTGGGGTGAAGCTACCATTGTTGCAGCCTATCTCATCAACCGTTTACCCTCCAGTTCTTTATAATCTCAGACCCCCTATAATGTCCTCCACTCAACCATAAGTGCTCCCACTGTTTCGAATTTACCACCTCGAATTTTTGGATGTATAGCCTTTGTTCATCTCTCTAAACCCTTGAGAAATAAGTTGGAACCTCGAGCCTTTCGATGTGTATTTGTTGGCTATGCTTCACTTCAGAAGGGATATCGATGTTATCATCCACCTTCTCGGAAGTTGTATGTGACCCTTGATGTCGTATTTCACGAACATGAAATGTACTATACTGCTCTTGAGTCTCATTCAGGGGAAGAATCGAAATGAATTGCAGATTCTAACTCCAAATCTGAATATCACAAGTGAAACTTGAACTCCTTTGGAAAACTTGGATATCACAAGTGACAACTCTGATCTTAGTGGTAAAAATCTAGAGGAAGTGGAGCCAGGGGATGAAAATGGGGAAGCGGATGGAAATGTTCAGAATCAAATGGAAGTAGCGCATTCTCCCCTTCATAAGGTACCATCTAACCAATTGCTCTTTGAATCTGGCCCCCCCCCCCTCTCGAACACGAGGTAAATTCTGAACCTCCTCACAAAGTGTTACCTAGTCGGTCTTCCAGAGGGATACCTAAAGTACTCTATGAACCTGTTTTTAGTTCCGAACCTAAGTATCCCATGAGAAACCATGTGTCTTATCATAGATTGGCAAAGGAAAATGAGTCGTTTGTGAATCAATTATCTTCTGTATCTATTCCTACTAACGTGCAGGAAGCTCTGAGAAATTCGAAGTGGAAGGAAGCAATGAATGAGGAAATGAAGTCTCTTCAAAAGAACTCAACTTGGGAAGTTGTTAAGTTACCTGATAGGAAGAAACCTGTTGAATGTAGGGGGGTCTTCACAGTTAAATACAAGGCAGATGGAACTATTGAACGATTCAAGGCCAGACTAGTTGCCAAGGGGTATACTCAAACGTATGGAATTGACTATATAGAGACATTCGCACTGGTAGCAAAAATGAACATTGTTCGTATTTTGATATCCCTGGCACTGAATCTTAAATGGCCATTGCATCAATTTGAAGTCAATAATGCTTTTTTACATGAAGATCTTGAAGAGGAAGTGTATATGGAATTGCCTCCTGGATGTAATAAAAAGTCAGAAGATGAAAAACATGTATGGAGATAAAAAAATAAAAAAATAAAAAATAATAAAAAAGGTACTATATGGTCTGAAACAATCTCCTAGGGTATGGTTTGGAAGATTCACGAAGTCTATGAAGAATTTTGGATACAATCAGAGTAATTCGGATCATACTCTCTTCTTGAATCATAATAAAGGAAAGATTACGTGCCTTATTGTGTACGTTGATGATATGATAGTAACAGGGAATGATCCAGAAGAAAGGAATGCATTACAGAAACACCTTGCTCGTGAATTTGAAATGAAGGATCTTGGTCCATTGAAATACTTCCTTGGAATTGAAGTGTCGAGGTCAAAGAAGGGTATTTTTCTATCTCAACGAAAATATACCTTGACCTATTGAGTGAAATGGGGATGACAGCATGTAGTACAGTTAGCACCCCCATGGAAGAAAATCTGAAATTAGGCATATATCAAGATCAAGTCCCGACAAACAAGGAATGATATCAGAGACTAGTTGGCAAATTGATGTATCTTGCACATACTTGACCTGATCTGGCATATGCTGTAAGTGTGGTCAAGCAATTCATGCATTCATCGAGTGAAGAACATGAAAATGCAGTGATACGCATTTTGCATTATTTGAAGTCATCTCCAGGAAAATGGATCATGTTTACTAAAGGAGATAATATGGAGGTCAAAGGTTATACCGATACAGATTGTACTGGATCGATCACAGATAGGCGATCTACATCGGGATATTTCACTTATGTGGGTGGAAATCTAGTTACTTGGCAAAGCAAGAAACAAGTTGTAGTTGCTCTATCTAGTGCCGAATCTGAATTCAGGGGAATGGCTAAGGCAGAGTGTGAGTTATTGTGGATAAGAAATTTATTGGAAGATTTGCACATTAAACACACTAGTCCGATGAAACTATATTGTGATAGCAAGGCAGCTTGTGATATTGCCTACAACCCAGTTCAACATGATCGAACTAAACATGTTGAAGTTGATAGGCATTTTCTCAAAGAGAAACTGGAAGCAAAGATTATTGAAATGCCACATGTTCCATCCCAAGACCAACTTGCTGATCTACTAACCAAGGCCGTGTCCGCTCGAGCATTTAATGATGGTCTCAACAAGTTAGGAATAAGCGACATCTATGCACCAATTTGAGGGGGAGTGTTAATGGAATGAATTGACGTCCAAGTTGGTATCTTACCATACATAAGTTCCTCCAATATTGTCACCTAAAATAAGAAATACTCTTACCTTGTGTAGAATTCTGTAGGAAATATATATATATCTCATTATAAAGAAAATAATTTGTGATAGTGTTCTTTTAGTAGCATCATTATCTATTAAACATGAATTTAAATTTCACATATCTAATTTTTATCCTACTCTTTTTCAATCATGAATCTATTCGAAATCGCATTGTCTTCTTTTCAAGATTTTATACTTCTTTCACCTTATTTGTTTACTGCAGAGTCCCCTATTTGAATTACTACGTGCTAAAGTAAAATAAAAGGCTTAGCGTTTATACCTTGTGCTGAATTAGGATCTCTCATTCTAATCTTGACAATGACATCCCCTTATGAATGTTTCAGTGCACAACTAGTCCATCCCATCCATTATCTTTCCAGTACTACCATTTGTTGTGCGTACATGTCCCACAAACCCAATTTAGAAGGGTAATTTCGTCACTTCATTATTGTAACCATAAACTTACATGTCGACCAATCCTCAACTTTTCAAAAAGTGCCTTTTAACACATTTGCATAATTATTCTTAATCATGAAAATCTTTCATATCTCATTAAATAGTCATTAAAAAAAATAAAAAAAAATTCTATTCGACTGATACACAAGAAAAAAAATCAAATGGGCTTCTAGGGTAGGGGCTGGGCTTGCCTCCACCTCCCTACGTCCTAGTCCTCAAGCATTGTGATATTAGTTTTTACTTCTCAATGTGTTCAAAAATATATTGTCATGCAGTATTTACACAAATTCAAGAGAAAATCTATTGAAGATTTGAACAAAAGAATAAATTGTGTAACTGTAATAGTTATGGGACAATAGTTTGAGGGGTAATAATGAAAATATTCCGAACTCGAAAGCACTGAACTAAAGAGTTTATCTCCGCTTTTTCAATTTTTTTGGGGTCATTTCCTTATCTCAGAATACGTCGCTAGACTCTGTAGAAATGAACTGAGATCTGCAAATTCTTTCTAGGTAAGAATTTCCTTTTTCAGGTTTTATGATGCGCACATACTGTTCCAGTTTTTCTGTTCCTCAAAAAATATTAATGCGGGTCAAAATAAATGATTAAATATGAAAGAAGAAGAAATCTTGAATCAAGAAAATTTTAGTTGGGATGGGCAAAAATTGTACTAGTAGCCTTGCCATTTGTGACCAATAATTTGAATTGTTCCATTGGCTGGGCTTAGAGAATGAGAGGATTGTATTTAATGTATTTATTTGATAACAGTGTGATATTTAGTGCATGACAAATGTTTGATGGGTAGCCTGTGTGGCATCCTACTGGTTTTTGTAGCTGGTGAATTGAACAGATTTATCAATCCTCGAGTACTAGTACCTTGAACTTTTTTTGAATAGAGAATATGATCTAAGGTGTAAAATGCTTATAAAATTTTTATCGTTTAACGTTAGCAATCAATTATCATAGTTTAGTAATTTAGCTTTAACATTGCCCAGTGGATGGAAGATTTAGAGGTGGCAGTGTGGCACGATGGTGTGCTGTGTAGTTTTTACAGCATAAATGGATGAAGGAAATGGAAGAAGTTTTAAGTTAGTCTATGTGGGTTTAGCTGCTTAAGAGTTTATATGATTAATTTACGCAGTCTTTAAGTTAAAGTTTTATCTTTATCAGGTTTGGCATTAACTTGCAAATGGATCAGTCTTGTTAATTTAGATTTGATTAGGAGCACCTGAGGTGAATAATTGAAGAGTTTCTCAATATTGCACGTTTCGGGAACTTGAGGCAAGTGGTTCGGGTCATCCTTCTATTTGTTTTCTATAAAAAAACATATCCCTTTTCTTGCAGTCATAGTGTATTCTGCAAGATGGAATTATCTGAATCTCTATTGCATCTCAGATGACTTCTGAAGCTCTATTTAGCCAAATAATATCTCTAGTATTTGATAATCTAAAAAAAGTTGTTTTAAATATCCTATGCTACTGCATTTTATTTTGAGTTATGTTTGATCCAAAAGGCGTAGTAGGGACTACTGCTGAATTGTGGTAAACCCTCTACGCTCCCACTATTTTCACATGCTTAGAGGACCGTTGGAGTAAATGGAAGCTATTTATGATGCTTATGGACTAGACAAATTTTGTGGAGACTCATTAGCTTTGTTATTAATTTCTCAGGGACAGTATTTTCAGATTTTCTGGAACTGTTGTGTGTTGATGTTGTCGAATTCTTCTTTTCCATTTCATGCTGCCAGTATTTGATGCACTTGAAGGTTTCATGTTCAAGATGCATTGCTAATTTGTTCTTCAAATTTTGAGTACTACATCATGATGTGCCATTGAAGAGTTTAATTGTTAAGAATAGACACCATACTCTTTTCCGTATAGGGTCTTCATTGTACACAGACATGCTCAAGGTCCCTGATCACCAGGTTGCAGGACACAAAGCTGGTAATGGGAAGCTTGGTCCCCTTGTAGATAATTCTGGACGTTTCTACAAGCCTCTTCAGGGTGATGAGCGTGGATCCAATGAGGTTTCTTTCTATGCATCATTTTCTTCAGACACCAGGATCCCTGTCCACATCCGCAGATTCTTCCCGAATTTTTATGGCACTCAGCTTGTAGAGGCCTCCGATGGATCTGGCTTGCAACCTCATCTAGTTTTGCAAAATCTTACTTTAGGTCAAGTTAATCCATCGATAATGGACATTAAAATTGGTTCAAGAACTTGGCCGCCTCAAGCAACCGAGGATTATATCCATAAGTGTTTGAAGAAAGATAGACAAAGTACTAGCATTCCGTTAGGATTCAGGTTTTCAGGGTTGCAAATTTATGAAAGCAAAGAATCTGGATTCTGGAAGCCGGAGAAGAGGTCTATTAAGTGTCTTTCAGCTGATGAAGTTAAATTAATTCTGAGAAAGTTTGTTTCTTCTCACGTGTCTGAAAAAATGGATTTGAAACCAGATTGTACTTTTGCGTCTGTTGTTTATGGTGGTTCAGCAGGTATTTTAGCACAATTATTGGAGTTAAAAGCATGGTTTGAGGATCAAACTATTTATCATTTTTATTCTTGTTCTGTTCTTATGACATACGAAAAAGAGCTAATATCATATGGAAAGAGCCCACATGCCGAGATCAAGCTCGTTGATTTTGCACACGTTGTTGAAGGCAAGGGCGTTATTGACCACAACTTCTTGGGTGGGCTCTGCTCGTTAATAAAGTTCATTTCTGAGATCCTTACCATGCCAGATGAGCGCACAACTGAATCTTCTTCGGAAGATTTTCAGAAGAATGGGATTTCTGAGGGTGGTACTCCTTGAACAATGGATACTTATCAGTTAGGTGCACTTGGTATTTGTTTAGTGACAGTATCTTGATGGAAGTATGGAATAAAGACTGTAATACTTTTTAAACTGAAATTATTTCCGTTGAATTTCGAATTTCATGCAGCTGTTTTTCTTACATTATGATGTTTGTCATTTTAATATGATTTGTGTATTTAATGGACATTAGCAGGTGTTATTAGTAATTTAGTATCACTGTTTTTATCTGGAAATACAGGAAGAAAAGGGATGGACTATACCGCTATACCCGTTTTTCTTATCTTCGTGGGAATTTTCGATTAAAAGATAAATCAGGAGAAAATGGTCAACTTGGTATCTCACACAAGGACAGCCAACCTTCCAGATAAGTAATAATCAATTTCCTTTCAAGCAATTGTGCTTTTCACAACATAAGCAACTTTCTTAATCAGTAGTGAAGTTAACTCCAAGCTTCAAAATGGTTTACTTCCACTTGTTCCAACCAAAAATACCCGCTATATATGCTTCACACATTAAAATGCAGAAACTAAATAATCCACCATACCCACCCACCCAGAAAGAAAAGAAATGAAGAACTTCGGTCTTTCTCTTGGCATTGCTTTCTTACTATGTTTTTGTATTTGCACCAAACTGTGCTGTGCGGGAGATGTGGATAATCTTCATGATATATGTCCAACAGATACAAAAGATCAAAAAATCTTTATTAATGGCTTTCTGTGCAAGAATCCTGCCAACATAACAGCATCTGATTTCAAATCCTCATTGCTGAACCAAGGTGGTGACACAGATAATTTTTATCGTTCGTCTATGAACATAATTACTGCGGCAGAGTTTCCAGGACTCAACACCCTTGGATTATCAGCTTCCAGGATTGACCTAGAAGATGATGGAATGGTAAAGTTCAACCACTTTATCTAAAAAATTAATCTATTAGTCAGAGATGATATTATTTATTTAAATCTTGTCTTCAACATATCTCACGTGGGTCCCCAAATCATTTTTTCGTTGAAGACTTAATGTGTACATGCAATTTTTCATAAATCGTTAGCAATGAGACTTGATGCATTTACTTGCTTTGACGGTTAATTAGGGATGAATTTATTCATTTTGATCTTTGTTTTCAACATTTCCCATCACTTCAGGCCGAATTCATCTTTTCTCCATATGCTGCACGATTTCATAAATGTATGGCATTGATACTTGATCCCAAGACTTCTACAACTTCAATACCATGTTTAATTACATTTTCTAAAAGTTTAAGTTGTTAGAAAATAGATGATTTGTTTATCAAACTTTGTCTTCCACATGCAGACAGAGATTATTTTTTTCATCAAGCCCCGACTAAGGTAAGCCCAGTCCATGGTAGACACGGCCCTAATAACATGTGGTTTTGATCTGCCAGCCTCTAGAGTTGCCCATGTTAGGCCCGCCTCTAGGAACCTGTGGCCAATTGAAAGGGATGGGGTAGATAGGTGGCTCGGCCTATCCAACTACTTCTCGACCGGCCCAGCTGCTAGTCGCCGTGGCAAGGCTCGGCCAGTTGCTTCAATAAAAAGGATTGAATGAAGCTTCGTGCTTTCGTTCGCCGCTTCCCTTCTCAGTGCGAGACATTCTTATCTCGTCTGATGCGGGTGTGCGGGTCCCTTTCCCTGGTAGGTCCGATTGGATGAATATCTCGTGCCGAGGTATGAAACTACTAGGGGATATCTGCTTGATATTCTTACTTAGGAGTCTTAAAAATGGAAAGCAATTTCCATTAATAGAAGTATGTTAAAGTTCACCATGCTGGACTCAAAGAATTTTTAGTCGGGCCTAAGACTCTAGAAAAATCATGTCACGTCGGCTTTTTACACCTCTAGGTCTGACACTTGCACAATTTCATATTATGTCGTTGAACCGTCTTGTCTAGTGCTTAAGATATTAGAGAGAGTGAATACATTTAGCTAAATCTGGTCTTTTCATCAGGTGGCTCCACATGTTCATCCAAGAGCGTCCGAATTGATGTTTGTGAGCACTGGGGTGGTTGTAGCAGGATTTGTAGATTCCAACAACCAGGTTTTTCAGAAAATTCTAAATGAAGGTGATGTCTTTGTGTTTCCAAGAGGTCTTCTGCACTTCTGTTTCAATGCTGGTTTAGAGAATGCCACTATTTTCTCTGTTCTAAACAGCCAGAATCCAGGGCTAGTAAGCATATTAGGTTCCATGTCTGCACCCTATGATTCCAAGGCCATGAAAATGCTAATGCAGAAATTAATTTCACTGTCTTCACTGGATTTGGGTCGGATCGATATGAATTTGTTTTACGAATTAGGCTTATGAAGATAACTGAATTTCACAATCAGTGTGCAGTAGAGTTTTCTAGCTTATTTTTGGTCCTGCATTTTAATCTGTAACTTACCTTTGAAACTTTATTATTGGCTTGTATCTATTTTCCTCCTCAATTTATGTCTTTATCGAGTAAAAATTTCGAAGGCACTTTTTATTTTTAATTTAAAACAAAAATAAAACAATTGACATCAAAATCAATAACCTTCATTTTGGAGGAGTTAAAAATAGAATAATTGCCCCAGCCTGGTTTTTCGTGGCTTTGACTAACAATAGGCTCAAGTTTATCGCGTCAAAGGTGGTGGTTGTTACAGAGTTCAAATCCTCCGACGTTCAAATCAGTCTTATTATACAAACCTCAACATAATGTTACATTTTGCATGATTAATTTATAATACCAGACTTTTCAATTTCTAATTAATTAATCCCCACTTTCCATTCTCATTTCTCCATAATTCTCTCATCATTTATTTCCCCATTTTCATGTTAAGGGATAAATCATCACATCTAATAAATTTAATATTTTCTCTAGTCATTTGACGGACTCGGCATGGGTGTGTATTTTCAACTTTCACCATCATGTATTCTCCTTTTTTTTATACCATTTGCGTGTGGGCTTACTAAGGCTTTATACCCCATTATTTTTTCTATATTACTCATTTTCAATAATACATTCTTCATTAGAATAATATTACACGTAAATCAAAAAATGTTCCTTTTTTTTAACCACACATTTCAATGTCACTCACTATTCCATAATACATTATCTAAAAATAATGGAGCACAAACACCCCCTAAATTTTTCTTCTTTGGCCTCCATTTCGTAAAATCTCAAACTCATTTTCAATTATAATTTATGGGATTCACAATTTTCACAAATTTTTAAATCAACATATTTTATTAATTTTTATTAAAATCTATTAAAGATCTAATTTTTAACTAAACTAAATAGAGACTTAGTGATTTTCAGCAACTATTTTATAATTGTCTGTATCGAAATCTCTCCCCAATTACAAAATAGATAATTTTCACCAGAAAAACATTTGGTTTATTTTTATGATGGTTAATCCTATTACTTCTAATTCTAGGATTTCCTCATTTAAAAAAATGCCGAGCATATTTTCCAAATCATTTCTAGGGATGTCGGCGGGGCGGGCGGTCCTCCCCGCCTCTCCCAAACCCCGCCCCGCCCGGGGACGAGGTAGCTTTTCCCCCTTTTGCTATCCTCGTTTAATTTAATTTTATTTTTTTCAAAATTTTGAGTTATGCTATTATTAAAAAATAAAATACAAATTTAAAATGGATTTTTAATGGGTGAATTGTCTAAAAATAAAATTATTTTTATCATTTTTTTTTCCTCTTCATGGGGCGAGGCAAGGACGCGCCCCCACCCAGGGCGGATTTTTTTTGCCCCATTCGGGACGAGGTTGATTTTTTTGCCATCACTAATCATATCTCCATGATTCTCTCATTTTTATTTATTTTCTTCTAATGCCATGCAATTTTCGTGTTAAGGGATGAATCTCCATATAGAAGAAAGGTAAGAATATTAACTCTAGCTTATTTTTGGTCCTGCATTTTAATCTGTAACTTACCTTTGAAACTTTATTATTGGCTTGTATCTATTTTCCTCCTCAACTTATGTCTTTATCGAGTAAAAATTTCGAAGGCGCTTTTTATTTTTAATTTAAAACAAAAATAAAACAATTGACATCAAAATCAATAACCTTCATTTTGGAGGAGTTAAAAAATAGAACAATTGCGCCAACCTGGTTTTTCGTGGCTTTGACTAACAATAGGCTCAAGTTTAGCGCGTCAAAGGTGGTTGTTGTTACAGAGTTGAAATCCTCCGACGTTCAAATCAGTCTTACTATACAAACCTCAACATAATGTTACATTTTGCATGATTAATTTATAATACCAGACTTTTCAATTTCTAATTAATTAATCCCCACTTTCCATTCTCACTTCTCCATAATTCTCTCATCATTTATTTCTCGGTTTTCATGTTAAGGGATAAATTATCACATCGAATAAATTTGAAATTTTCTCTAGTCATTTGACGGACTCGGCATAATAAATTATATGTTATAGAATTTGGGGTGTGTATTTTCAACTTTCACCAACATCATGTATTCTCCTTTTTTAAATACCATTTGCTTGTGGGCTTACTAAATTTTTCTTGTTTGGCCCCCCTTTTCACAATTTATGGGATTCACAGTTTTCATAAATTTTTAAATCAACATATTTTATTAATTTTTATTAAAATCTATTAAAGATCTAATTTTTAACTAAACTAAATAGAGACTTAATGATTTTCAGCAACTATTTTATAATTGTCTGTATCGAAATCTCTCCCCAGTTACAAAATAGATAATTTTCACCAGAAAAACATTTGGTTTATTTTTATGATGGTTAATCCTATTACTTCTAATTCTAGGATTTCCTCATTTAAAAAAATGCCGAGCACCCCGCCTCTCCCAAACCCCGCCCCGCCCAGTAGACGGGCAGGGACGAGGTAGCTTTTTCCCCCTTTGCTATCCTCGTTTAATTTTATTTTATTTTTTCAAAATTATGAGTTATGCTATTATTAAAGAATAAAATGCAAATTTAAAATGAATTTTTAATGGGTAAATTGTCTAAAAATAAAATTATTTTTATCATCTTTTTTCCCTTTTCACGGGACGAGGCGAGGACGCGCCCACCCGGGGCTGATTTTTTTTGCCCATTCGGGACGAGGTTGATTTTTTTGCCATCACCAATCATTTCTCCATGATTCTCTCATTTTTATTTATTTTCTTCTAATGCCATGCAATTTTCGTGTTAAGGGATGAATCTCCATATAGAATAAAGGTAAGAATATTAATCAACATATAAGAGTTTATCTTTTAAAAAGGAGCTCCAAATCTTAATATTTTGTCAATCCTCTTCTTCTTTTAAGAAAATTGTCCATTTGTGTGGGCGTAGCTTTGCTAAATTTATCTTATTTTAGGATTTTCAACAACTACTTTATAATTCTATCTTCCGTGTCAAATTATCTCCCAGAAAATAAAATACAGAGAGAGAGACTCGAATTATGTGTCAAATTTTGACACGAACCTCAGAAAATGCGTAAGATTGTTTTGGTTTTGGCAATAATGGGGGTTGGTTTGGTTGGACTTTGGAGAAAACGTGCCCGCGTTTGTCTGTGCTGTAATGCATAAATTGCTTGTTCCGCGTCGATCATTCTCTGTGATTTTTTCTTTATATAATAATAGCATTAGCCACTAGGATAAGCATGACAAGAATACCAGTCAAAACACCACTAATTTGCAAATTAAGGGTCTGTTTGGCATAGCTTTAATTGCCAAAAGATTTTCTGCGGGGGCTTCCAGTCTATCACACAAATGTGATATAGATGGTACAGATTATGGGGTGACGTGAGGAGACTTCAAGCTTGATTGCTGAAATATGAAAGTTGCCTAACATGTTCAGACCCAAAATCTGCTACTATAATTTTAAGTTATTGGTTCGATAAGGTACATTACTAGATAATATTAAAAAAGAAACTAAAATTAAATAATTGTACAAGATTTTATCCAGTCATGTTACGCGTAGTAAACTTGCCACTAACTAATTTTTATGATCACAAAGAGCTTTAATTATCAAAAGTCTTCTATGAGTTGGAATCCACTGGGTTGAGGAAGGCTAACATCAACTTGATAGATGAAAGGTGACACGGTACTAATGATAAAATGTATTTTTGAACTAAAGTTTGCCATCATAAATGTTTGAGAAATGCTACTTGTACATGCTTCACACCCAAAACAAAAAAAAGGGAGTTACGTCTGAATTAAACTTGGAGATGGAAGTCTTCTTTCATTTCTCTATGTTGAAGTAAGATCAAACTCATGAGCATAGAATGCGGAGATGGCAAGATTTCGTAGGTTGCTTCAACTTTGTTTTTGTCTGTCTGCCTATGAAATTTTGTCATCTCTGCATTTTGTAAACCAAATGATAAACATGGATGTACAAGTAACATTTCTCTAATGTTTTTTGGTTTTGTTACGGTGGATTGTATGATTTAAGGCACTTGTTTAGTGGGATTAAAATAAGATTTTTAGAAAATCTTGATAAAAGCTTATTAAATATACGATTGAACAAGTGAACTTGAGATTTTCTTTATTTAATAACCCATCACTTGAGAATCATAACCATCTTTTACATATAGCATTACTCAAAGTTAAAATTACACATTCAAAAGTACTATTCACTTTTTATCTACACATTTTGTTATACCTATTACTCATCTTTATTATAATCTCAATTAGTTTTTACCTAATATATAAGCTGACGTTGAGGTTTCAAATCAGAATGAGAAATTTGTTACGATTCTTCACATGGCGATGCTGTAATGGATCTTGGAAGCACATGGACTTTTGGAAATCCAGTTACCCCACCAACCAAAAAAAAAAAAAAGAAAAAGAAAAAAAAGTAACCATATAAGACATAAATTTCTGGGCCAATAATTATGCCAATGGTTGGTGAAATTTATTCTCCGTTTCCACCTTCCATGCCTTCACCACTATCTTTTACAGACAACATATAATAGATCAAAAAACTAATCAAATTGGGACCCACAAGTTATCTTTGCTAATGCTAGCATTACATTTTGTGAGGTCATTACTCGTCAAAACCTATCTATACTTACCAAAGAAAAACAAACAAAAAAACTTAAATTATATAGAATATCCACCTTCAGTGGTCGCGGGTGGTCTATCCATAGTCAACTGCATCTTTAACATATCTGTACATAGGGATCGGGGTCCAGCCATCGAATATATCTGCCATTTGTTAGTCGAAAATTAGAAGTTCTCTTTATGGAATTCAAATTTGGTGGAGGTCCTGTGAGAAAAATCAGAGGCAAGTTGTCTTAATTCTTTCACGGGTGGTGGCGCCCCACAATAGAATACCCCTGCAAATATCAACGGAAGAAAACTCCATTAAGAAACGTATTTGTCGGAATAGGACTCAGTTGGCTGCTGATAAAGTATTGGTCCAACTCTTCGACACGAAAATAACTACTACTCGTATTATAGAGCGTGTAAATGGAACTGCGTAAAGTTCAGATTTGTTC